TCAACCTTTCCCAAAAACTGATATCAAGACACCTCTTGATCGCTCCTACAATGGAGATCGAACTGGCAGTATGGCGGCAACTGGAGGAAATCGCAGGGAGAAGATAGCGTAGTCACACTGTTGTTGTCTTCTCTCTGGGTGCTATGAGATCTGATCTCTGAGAAGCTTGGGATGCTGAGGATGAACTGAATGGTTTGCCCCCTCCTCCTTTTATAGGCTTAAAGGGAGCTCCTAATCTCATTAGGAGTTTCCTAATCCAAATCAAGAGTTATCTTTAAGAAATAAGGATAATCTCTTATCTTATTTACAGATTAGATCAACTCTCTCTTAATCTCATTAGGAGGTTTCCAGATCTGAATTCAGATCTGGACTCTCTGAGTGGATAGGGTAAGACCCTATCCTATCTGCTGATTTAATCCCAGATCCGCCCCCTTATTTAACTAGTCAAACTAGGTCAGTTCGAAATGGGCTTTAGGCCCAAAAAGTCTAAGTGCTCAAACTGCTTCCAACCTACTGCCCAGTTGGGCTTCTTTATATAGTGTGGGACCCAAACATTGATCTACACATAAGCCACATTGGTTCAAGCCAGCCTCTGTTACAAGGCCTGGCCGAATTCACTATAAAGACAGTGAACCCCTTGAAGCCTATCACATGGACTCCTAATGGGCCCAACACTTACACTAAGTGGTCCCTAGGCTAAGCCACCTTATAAAAACCCAGGGACTGTGGGCAGATGCAAGATAGCCCATCAGGTATTACCCTCAATGGTCTTACATTTAACTTCTCAGCCCATAATGATCAAACACTACCCCACAAGAGAGGACCTCTCCCTCGGTTGCAAGGAACAATGCTCCACTCTCTACTCACATGAATCCCGGGAATTAAAACCTTTTGCAAATATTTTGAAACCATAATATATATATTTATATCCGTATATAAAATATATTTTGCAAAACAAATTTCAACGATTGAAATTGGCTGCCGGCAGTCTTGGTTTCCATCAGAGAGAGTGCATCCCCGATCATTACCTTTGTC